AACAGAAGAAGAGCGGAACATGTAAGACCAATCAAGGACAAATGAAACCTCGAAAGAACAACTGGACCAAGCTTACGATGTGAGCGAAATAGCGCTCTCACAATTCATTTGCCTTTGACTTCGCCGCTTCTGAAAAAACCTAGCACTAAACTTGACGAAGAAATCTTCCCAAGAACACGCAAGCATTTAGGGAAATCTGATTAAGTAATAGGGACCGCTTTTTTTATTGGCTTACTGGCTAAATAACTCACGCAGGATGTTGGGAGAAAACAAGAAAGAAAAACTTTTCAAATTTTTCGAAGGACTGTGGGTTTACCAATGCAATAAACGATAGGTTTTTGACCAATCAAGGAGTTCGAAATATCTCAATTATCACATTATAGATAAAAGTCTTTTGACAAAGGATGCTTTAAATGCAAAGCATTTTATTTGTTAAAACGACATTTATCTTTTTTCTTTATACAATCTCCACGGACACAGATTTGTATCCACAAATAAATACATTTTACTAAAAATTCTACACTTCTAATCCAACATAATTTAAGATTTACATACATAAATAGATGTCTGACATAAATTAAATTAGAGATTTGAAATTCATTTTATATCTTAGTTTACACCAATATTCAAAACGCCGGGGGAGCAGCCCTTACTACGACGAATTTCTAATGATACTTAGTCTCTTACGCGGACAATTCTTGCTTTGTCATGCAAAAGTTCTTCCAAGTTGCGTGACACATTGCGTGATAGCAATAAATGTCTGCGAAAGAGATTGCGGAGCTAATTTCCAAGCATAGTAATACGTACTTCGTTTACATGACTGATATCACAATCCGCGAAAGATGAAATGAGGTGAAGTTGCCGATCACACTTTTGGACAAATTGCAATGCCTTCTTCATTTTCAACGTAGGGTTACTTTCTCCTATTTTTCAGATAAATAAAATCTAACAAAATCTCGCTCCTCGTGAATTTCGTGTGAAAAAATTTCATTAAGTTTTCCTCAAGTTAACATCTCCGACGTTAACTCGTGGTCGCCATCTTGGGGGAGACCCAAATTCCTTTCTTTTACATTCATAAAAAGCTATATACAAAACATGGGCTTTGAAGAATGAATGAATGAGTACAACAATGCCTTACTAAAGGAAACCGCATTTAAGATTAGAAATCTATGTTTGGAGTACGGTTTATACGTTATTCTCTCAACGTAAATCAGAAAAATTCAAAAGCCCTAACTACCGGAGATAGTGGGTTTGTGATTTGCAAAAATACTAAGCCTAAATTGTATTTTAAGTAATTTGATACTCATGTAAACTTATTTTCCAAAGGCATTGTTTCATTGTACCGTCTCCGAAACTCTGTTTAAAATACTTTATTTTACGACGCCTTTAGCTTGCGAGCATGCTCTCGTTATCAGCGCTAAAGAAAGCGTGTTTTTCCGCCCGCAGGAAGATTTGAGACGAGTCGAGGAGAGGTTTACCGAGAGTCTGGCACTATTTAAATCACTGTTGGACCCCTTCAGACCTCTCGCCGACTGGTGCTGCCCAGGCCTTCTACTTTACCGCAGGCGAAAAAACTCGTGCCGACGCACTAAAAGTGGGAGCCTGTTCAAAAGCTATGACTTGTTACCATAACCCTTCAACTTACATAATTCCTTAGTGTATGTAAACCAACTATTGTTTCAGCCAATTTTTTTTGCTCACACATTCATTTTTTTCCAGAATAACAAGGTGCAGTAAATACATTAAACGATCAGTTGAACTGTCCGTCGCAGAAATGTCCAAAAAAAAAATACCCTGTGTTGAGTCGCGCAGAGGAGATGCGGTGAAGAGATATGGAACTTGAAGTGAACTAAGAACGCTTATTTTGGTTACATTCCCTGTTGTGAGTTCCCCACGCGGAGAGCTGCAAGTTAAAAAAAAAAATTCATGAGCTTACTGCATGCCACTATTCCATGTTCTACGATAAGCTGCATTATACACGCAATTTGATTGGTTCTTACTTATGATCTATCGGAGGACAGACGCACGGAGGACGTCATCATTTAGAGCGTTTTGCTTCTCTCTCATATGAAATAAAAATATCTCATTTTGTCGTTTGTCTGTACAGTAATAGATCACAAAGAAGCCGAAATGTGGTAGGGACATCAGTGATACACTCGGCTACGCCCCGTGAGCCACTTTTCTGTTCTTACCACATTTTGACGTCATCTATCACTGAGCAGACGTACGGCAAAAGGGAATCTATTTGTTAACCCTTTACTCCCTAATATCTGCATGCTTATTCTCCATACTACTCCCTAGAAATTTCCTAGGGTTCTAACAAGGAGAATTTGTTCAACCATCAAGAGTTTCTTTAGTGGGTGATCATCTCCTTTATCCTCATAACCGTAACGTTTGATTCAGGGGCGATGTTGTAGAGAGGAATTAGATGTTAGTCACTCTAAGGGGTTACAGGGTTAATGGAATCATTAATGCGAACACCAAAAATTTGTTAAATAACATTATCAACCAAAGGAAGATGTTCTTACTTGTCACGGGCGTCAGACAAAAGAAAAAGATGGGAGGCCGAACCTTAGACCTTCCGGAATCTGGGACGATCCTTATACATTTCTTGTTGGAAAATTGTATTACTAATTATACTGCAAAGAGAATCTACATGCTTATCACCTCAAAACAATTACCTGACACTCGGAGCTGCAGTACCAGGCCGCTTGACAGCCAGAACACAGGAACGAGGCTTCACGTTTGCACACTGAGCAGCGGTTGACTCCATCGTGTTCCGCCTTCCCGGTACCTTTACTTTCCTCTCGTTGAGATGTAAGGGGACCTCCCTTGGAGGCAATGAGCCCTTGTAAGGGAGCACTCATGTGCGCTTCAGCTCTTTTGCGATCAATAACTGCTTGATTGGGTCTCATTGCTTGGTCGCGATTACGATGCCACGGAGAATCCCGTTCAAACATCACACTGTTTGCTGCTTTTCTTAAATGTTCGTTTTCCAGAGGACGGTTGACTCTGACGTCACCAGCTTCACCCAGTTTGTCTCTTACTTGCGAAGAGTTCATTATATGGTTTTTGGGACTCGTGATCTGAGGTCGGTCTTTCCTTTCAAGATTGAGCGCATTCGCACTGGGGCTCAAGTGCTTGGAGTGCTGAGCGGACGGAGAAATTGAACGCTCCATGAGTTTAAGTCTTTTCGCTCTTTCGTACTCCTCTCGATCCGATACGTGACTGAAATGTGGAGGAGAAGGATGCCGCATGATAATTCCACCTTGACAATCTATTTCACTGAATCTTCGCTTTCTCTCCTCCGCGATTCTCTCCATGAAGAGAAGGCGTTCGCGATCGGTGATTCGTTTGTCCCGCGCTCTCATTGCGTCCAGGTGATCTCGCTTTTGTTCCATTCTAAGTTGATGTTCTTTACTGAATACAAGAGGGTTAACTTTGTCTTTGAGCTCTGCATGAAGAAGTCTTCTATTGGCTTCGATTTGCTCCAGACTCAGTCGTTGCCGTTCCCTCTCTCTCTCACGTTCAATGTCCTATCAAGGTAGTAGCAAATAGTTGACCGAATTAATACACTGTCCAACAGTTTAAACCCTACCATTAACCTGAAAAGTAACTATGGTGGTGGACTAACCCAAGGTATTTTGCTTCGTGGAAACTATCGCCATTACTGTTAAAAAACATTTCCATTCGACTGATTTAAAACTGAAGTCGGGAACAATTTTCAAACGCTCATCTACGTTTTACTTATAACAATCGGCATTTGTTTGTTTGTTTTCGACTAGATAAGGAGTTCAAGACAATGCAAGGTTAACTTTTTCTTCTATTGCACTCACCTGTCTGATGTGAGGTGGCACATCCTTACCAACCTCTGCTAACAGACCTGCAGGTTTCCCAGCAGCGGCAGCCAGACGTTCCATGGCTTGACGTGAGTTCATCACCAGACCATACTCCCGAGAAGCTAAGGAACTGGGTGGGGAATACATGTGAATATCGGAGGGCACTCGGATGGAGTCGGGCCCCCGTCGTTCCAACGAACCATCTGGTCGGACAAAAACAGACTTTGCACCCTGGGATCCGCCCTTACCCATAGGCAAGGATGAAGCCATCCGACTGAGAAGCTCGCGATGGGAAGGTTCCGACCCTCTGACCGCTTCACTACGCCTGTGCATCTCTAACTCGTGCAGAGCCGCCATCCTGGGATCCACTCTGGGATCCACCCTTCCTTGGAGGGAAGACGACATCGGAAATGGTCTGTCTGGATAAGCTTTCTGACGGAGAGGAGGCGAGATATTGAACGGCATTCTTGACCTCTTTCCACTATCTCCAGCACGGAGTAGTAAGAGATCTTCAGGGCGCTCTCGTTCGGAGACTGGTATCCTGGTGCCTTCTTTGTCTCTCAAATCCATTCTTGGGTCTTTTTCTTTAAGTTGAAACAGCTCTAAATTTGAACCTCTTGCCTTGAGCTCTCCTGATTGTTCTAAGCGGAGCCTGTGTTCCATTTCGGGACTGAGTCCTTCTCTAGTACGTTCTTCTTTATTACCAGTTTGTCTCACTTTTTCATCCAACAGTCGAAGACCTGGGTTTGTGATACTAGAATTGCCGTGCGAAGAATCAGCATTTCGCTCTCTCTCCAGACGACCAGCGTGTTCTAAGATTTCTACATCTCGAGGGCTTGCATCCTTGGCTGAATGCATCCTTAACAATGGCGACGAATGGCCTCTGCTCAGTTCCTCACGCCTCTGCCTGTCTGAGGACAGTCTTACATCTGCTTCATCTAAAGGTCGAAGACGTGGAGGCCCAGGCTTGATAAATTCACTCATGATGGAGCCGGGCTTTCTTTCGTCTACCAGACGTCTCAATGAAATGGCCTGATCCCTTTTGTCTACTGGTGAAATAGACGTCGAGCTGGGTCCCCGCCCGGGGGAGATTAAGTTAGAATCCTTTGAATGCGGTGGGGTTGAAAACTTGGCCGGTCCGCGGGAAGGAGAAGTGAGGCTGGATACAACTAGTTCCCCTGGATGTGCTTTAACGCCTTCGTCAATCTTTATCCGCAACATTTCTTCTTCTCTTCGGCGATTTAGATCAGACAAAGTGAGAGGCTGGTGAAGGGGTCTCCGCTCGTACAGCGAACTCATGTGGGGTGCCACGCGTTCCCTGGGTGATCTTTCGGGTGACTTCTGAAGTTGATGGGGAGAAAGCAAGTGATTGCTTCCAAAGCGGCGGACTTTATCGTCGTGTAAAGCTTCAAGTTCTCTCAGAGTTGCAGGGGAATGCTTCCCAATCTGCTGAAGATGGGACAGCATCAATGGAGGGCGCTTTCCTGGGACATGCGCGATGGGCTTCACAACTTTTGGTGTCTGGAGGGCTGCTTTATCCCCTAGAGGATCTCTGTCAGGTGGAGACTGCTTATCCGGCTGGTACGCCTGACATTCTGGTTGCCGGCATTGGCTTTTGTCACACTCACGACGATCGCGTGACATAACTGCAGACAAATGGTCGTGGCTGTGTGGGCCAAAGGCGTGCATTGCGCCATGATGACCAGGAATATCCAAAATTCCCGAGTGTATACCTCTGGGGTTGTTGCCATGGAAAGGGCAGTTCACGTCCCTCTTACAAGGTACTCCTGATTTCATGTTACCGTGCATGTGGTGTCCACAGTTGGTTGCTGGGTATCGACCTGCCTGTGGCAAAGGACCGCCAAACATTCCAGGTCCAGGTATAGCACCGCTATGAGTAAGAAGATGCGGTGTGAACGTTCTAGGTGAGTAGCTCTTCAAATGGGGTGAGGTTGGACCGAGACCTGGTGAAATAGGCATTCCATTCCCATCATGCATCGGGACAACAGGAATCAAAATGGCGGCGCGATGGGGTGGCATGGGACGGCCGAACTTGTCTTTCATACTTCCAGGAATAGTAGGAGTCACAGCGCCAAAAGGCTTCTTTATCGAAGAGTAAGGCACAGCTTTATCGGGAGGAGAACTACTTAATGATTTTGGAGGTGATTTGTGTCCTTCCTTATGGCTTGAATCGGTATGTTTGGTGTTGGAATGCTCATAGCTTGATTTTGAGGTGTGATTAACGCTTAGCGTTTCTTCCAGTCCACGCTTCTTTTTCTCATCATCATCGTCGAGAATCTCAATGGGGCTGATAATCTTACGCGTTTGTTCTGTTTCAGTCGAAGCTGGTTCGCTACTCCTTGGGGTCCCTGAGGTTAATTCCTCTTTATCCTGGTGCGTTTCGTGGAAAATTTCTTTTTCAGGTACAATCTTTCTTAGCTTTGGCAAAGGTTCCAAACCAGGAGCGTCCTTTGACGGTAAGGCGTGTTTCAACGGAGGGGGAGGGGGCTTGTTATCCGTTGGTTTAAAACCACTTTCGTTTCCGCCAGTGGATTCAGGTGAGGATGGTTTTAGTCGAGGCAACGTTTTAGGGACATTTGGTGGAAACTTTCTTCGCAAGAAACTCTGACGAAGTTCATTTTGAAAGTCGTCCTTCGGAGAAGTTGCGGAATCTTCGTGATCACTGAGTTGTTTGGGAGAAAACGCGCTTCGGCTTTCAGGTTTTTCGGGATTTTCGGGCGATAACTGAACCGGTGATGTTCTTGCGATGTCTTTATCTACAGGGTTTTCCAATTCGCCAGAAGGAGAGAGCTCGTTTTCCCTGACGATTTGGTTATCTTCGTTGCCTTGTTCCTCTTTTGAATCCTTTGCAGGCTGCACAGTATCCTCAGCGCACAGTTTGTTCTGTTGCAGTAGCCGCTCCACAAGCCAGTTATGTCTCGGTAGATCACGTGCGTATCGGTTTTGACTGATAAGATGAGGAGGAGTAGATCTTTCTCTATCTTTCTCCTTTTCGTCACTTTTTCTTTTGGTTTTTCCGATTCGTTTTTCCTTCCTTCCTATGTCTTTCCTTCCACTTTCCTCCACTAAACTTCTCGCTGAGTCTGAGAGGGCGTTGGCTTCATGAGCGCTATCGCAATTATCTGAGCCAGCAGTCCCCATGGCAGCAACTTCCTCGGAAGCGTCTGCGCTGAGGCGTTCTTCATTTGGCGATGGCGATCGCCTATCAGTGCACCCTCTGTTATCATCATTTCCTTCCTCCAGAGAACTTTCTTTGAAGCTGGCCGACTCGGTCTCTTTGTCCAGAGAGGGTTGGGTTGGGGACCCTCCTGAGGTCATTAAACCATCATCCATGTTGGGAGTCTCTTTTAAAAGCTCTTTACTTTCCTCCGCTTGCACTGTTATTTGGCATGCGTCTCTACTTTTAGTCTGTGACGCATCGTCGTCGCTTTCTGAATCAACCTGTTTGGCGCTTTTACTCGTAGACGCGTCCTTCACAATAGAACGAGCTTTCCCTCCTTTGGATTTTCGGCGTGGGTTGTGAAAAACTAACTTATGAACGTTCTTGTTAGTTTTTGATTTCTTTCGCTTCTTTTTCTTTATTTTCCCACGAGCCGGTGGTGTTAGACTTTCTGATTCACTGAGCTCACCCGCATCCGACATACCCTCCACGTTTGAAAGTTCAGATTCGTTGGTAACATTCTCTGAGTTTTGTTCGGCACTTAACGATTCGTTCTGGTCCGTTCCTTTTTCTTGTTTTCCAGAGCTTTCTATTTCCATGACTTCAGCGTTTTCGTGTATAGTTTGCTGATCAGAAGTTTCCCCGTTGTGAGCTAATTCTTCGTGCTTAAGCTCGTTGTCTAACCATCCTCTTTCACTTGAATCTGTCAATTTTGCAGTATTTATTTCAGATGATGTTACGCGACCAGTCCCTGCATCAGTGTCCCCATTTTTAATGTCATTTTCATTGTCATTTTCGTTGTAAACGCCAGAGGAGGAAACTTCAAGAGTTTCGCTTGCCTCACATTCGTGAACATTTTTGGTGGAATGCTCGCATTGCATGTCGGGTTCTTCCATAAGGCGGGCAAGTTTTGAACTTTTGATACTGCTGTGATCTGGGTCGTCAGGCTGTAGACATTCCATGTTGTCACATGCAAAGCTGCCATCGATAGCTTTGTCATCACAGTTCGAAGTTCCTCCTTCGCTTAAGCATTCACATGGCGTGTAGCCAAGATTGTTAATCAATTCAGTTTTCAATGGCGAATCTACCGAATCGCAATTTTCCTCTAAGCCGTTGCATTTCATGTCAGATGTTGAATCTAATCCATTTTCGACCGGGCTCGTGTTCTTTGCAAACGTTGGACTTCCGCCATTTGCTTTGAGTCCATTGGTAGAAACCTTCCTGTTTTCCATAAGAGGTTCTTCGTTATCAGCATCACTGAAAGCGAGCTCGTCATCGGAGACGTTCTCAAACTTTAATGGCTGGAGTTCAGGCACATTTCTAACTTCAGAGTTGGTGATGGTATCTGCCTCAGATTGCAGCCCATCAGATGAAGAGTTTTCCAACAAGTTGTTCTTGTACCTCAATCCTTTCACTTCAACTTTACTCTCGTTTACAAATTCAATACTTTTCATTTCCTGCACAGATCCTCTACGCAAGAATCTATCAAACAATGACTCTCGCTCGCCTGAAAGCTTACAAACATCGTCGCTGTCTTGGTCATGATCGTACTCAGGGGAGTGGTCTCCGTAACACCGTTCATACATCCCATGCATGCAGTCATTTTCTCCTTCGTTACAAATCTGCTCGTGAAAATTTTCTGTCGGAGCTTTCTCGCCGTCCGTTTCAACACTTTCTTTCCTGTTGTCAAATATATCCACAAATTTCTTGGTGAGCTGCTCACGTTGCAGCAGTTCTGCGCGAGCAATATCTTCGCTCAATAACCTCTTCTGTCGCGCCAAGTCCTGGGTTAGTCTTTGTTTCTCCCGCGGCGCATCGCGCCTGTGAGAGGAAATAACTTTGGCTGTTTTATTCTCCTCGGTTTGCTGGTATCTTTTGCTTCCCTGCTCTCTTGCCGGTGAGAGTTTCCTTCCCTCAGAATCCTCTAGAAGCCTTACATTCCGTACAGGAGAACCATAGCGCCCTGAATGTCGGGCGGAAACGTCGTTACCATGTCTCTGGTAATGATGTGAACTTTTCCTTTGGTGATTTGCGTCAAATTCCGAGTTTCTCTCCGAGTACTGATCACGTTCCCGCACACCCGGGCGCGCAGCGGGTTTGCTGTTGCCTCGCGCGCGTTTATCCACACCGGATGATTTAGATTTGTGACCGAACGTTGGTCTCCCTCGTGCCTTAGCTCCTTCGCGTGGATGCATGTGCGAGGAAAAGTAATAGCTCGACATCCCGCGCGAGGCCACCTCGCTCGCTTTGATACTTTCTCTAGCAGGCAAATCTTTCTCGTCTTCTGTTGAGTTTCCTGAGCTCACGCACGATTCTCCGGACTTAAGCTGTAAAAACAAAAAAACACACACTTAAACTGTGTCCTATTCGAAACGAAATATTTATCTGTCGCGCCTAGTTACTGCTGAGTCACTTCCCGACTGCCCACCGTCACTCAGTGTTTAACACAAAGTTTTTACCTGACTTAGCGTGCTGTGATGAAAGAACTTTCGAGCAAACAACATGTTACTGCTGCCCTGACGGGTCAAAATCTTGTTAAAAACAGCCACAAAATCTCTCCCTTACGAGATTTATAGACTAATCTGCCCATAGCCATAAGTTACCGAAAAGCTCTGCCGAGTGACACAACACAACGTTGTTTTTTAGATGAAGTATTATATTAGAAACAAAATTATATAATTCTCGACTGCCTCTATCAGTAATGGCAGCTTTCAATACCCAGTTTGTGCCCTCCATCAATATTACTATCAAGTGCCACTTGAGATGCCGTATTATCAATATCACGTTTCTCGTTCCATGAATATAACGATATCAGGCGACCGGCTCCATTAAATGAAACGAAGAAACTTCAAGTCCCACAAAAACGTCCACGACTAAATTACCTTAAACGCGACCAATTTACCACAACAGCAGCAAAAACTGCACAATGTAATCCTGTTCTTGATAGCGTTCCATTTTATAAAACGCGTTTCGCCTAGGTCGACCATCAGGAAATGGCTCGTTTTCGACCCACTATAGATTATTTACGTCGCGTAAAAACACTCACTATCAGCAGCGGGGCTTGGTAGCGCAATACTGGCGTGTAGAACAAATACAGTAAGCGGATATTATCCACTTCGATTATTTATCAACAATACCGCAATATTCGATAGCGTTTTCGCTTCAAGATCGGCCCTTGCTCATGACTTGATATACGTTCAGTGGTAAATAACACATCCGGCTGGTATGCCGAGTCATATTCGTTCTAATATAAGATAATTTCCCTTCAGCTGTTTAGACTACTTTTTTCATTTTGAAAGATGACGTGGAGAAACAAGAGCGTCTTCCAGTGCGCTCTAGCGGAACATCACACCATGGGTCAAACCTTTCAGCCAATAATTACTGAAAGTTCCTATCTAGTCTATTTTTAAAAATTCTGTCATGGCATAGCATAGGAAAGCAACAGCTAAAAACTGGCAACGACCAGTTCATGCAGAAAATAAACAAGAATTAGACGGATCAGACAAAAGCAGGCGATTACGTTCTTTTCTAAGCTTACGTAACTGATTCCCCTTCATTGTTCTATCTATTGTTCTCATGGACAAGTGAACGTGACTCAACCAGAACGCGCTTAAGGGCTGTTCAGCGAAAGCTACTAAACTGAATCCATGAAAGTTGAAAGTACTCCAATACTCAACACATCACGTACGGGGTCAAACGAACCCCTCGACTTGTGTTTATATATGCCCTAAATAGACCTCCGCAGAGCAGAATCGTGGCGCCGCACATAACATATATTGACCTTCTTCCGGGATGTATTGGCTAACTGAACCGATCTTCTAGTTATAAATTATTCGCAAAATGAAGTAAAATGCTAAGTACTTTATCAACCGTCCTCCATACAAAAAGAGTTTAAGTTGGTACCCCGCACGAACACGTTCAGCGAAAGTACAGAGATCCAGAAAATAGCATTCAAGGAACTTGGTATTAGTCAAAATCAATGCAATCTACTTCATCGGAGATCAAATGTTAGGGAAGCAGCTTCACTTTCCATTGGACTAAACCAACCTTCGATATCTAGTTTTCCACCAGAAATCTAATCGCTTCAGTGTGTTGTTTTGAATAATTTCGATTTCCTGTCTACGGAATGTCCTCTGCGCTGATGCTTTCATCAGAATAATCCTGTCTTCCGTTGAAACTAAACAAGAACTCAACGGGCTGTCGTTTGCCATAAAAAAGGGGATCCTTTCAAAACAAGGAAATTTCAGATCGAAAAACTGGTCTCCATTACTCGTAAGGGTAGAATGAACAAGTAATACCTTACTTTCTGTAGTCGCCTCAGGGACCTTTCAGACGAGTATCAGCCAGTCTGTGGTTCTTTTCTTCACTTTCTGTTCAACTTACTTTCCAATTCAGTCGCGACATTCCGTGATTGCAAGGGCGGCGATTTTAACTTCACTAAGTGGCGGACCGATTGATCCAACATACTTTGGTAAAATCGTCTGAGGATTAATTTTCGCCACCGTCTAACGTCCACAACAAATATAATCCCTTTGAACTAAAATTAACCTTTTTCTGAGCCCTTAGGCTCAAGGATTGTCAGCCCTCCAAAGCTACTTCAACTTTTCTTCTCAGAAAGTAATGCTGTTGACGTAATTTCTGTAGCACGCGCGATCTCGCTTTGACCACGCGCGTACAACCACGTTTCTTTGAAAACACCTTTCTGTTTTACGAAGACGAAAAACGTGAAGTAACTCAGTCGACAAACAAATAAAATAATAAAATAAGTGAATTAATAACGGATGGCTGGCTGAATAAAAAAATAAACCAATAAACTTGCAAATTAAATATCAAATGAATGAAAATGAGCATTTGCCATACAAACAAGAGCGTATCGATGCAACTGAAAAAACATTGAAAAAAATAGTAGCGATTTCAGCCAAATTGCACCACAGCAGCCTAAAAAGTTTGACTTAAATGTACTCAGTTAACAGAAGAGAAAGTGGAAGGCATTTTCACATTGATTCAGACGACAAAAAAATACAGTTTTAAAAGGCATACAGGTGCTCAACATCATTTCGTTACATTTGCTGGTAACTAACCACACAGCCATCAAGCTGATATTAAGCTGACTGTATTTATACTAAACCTCTGCCAAAAATAGTTCCTTGTATCAACTGTCAAAGAATTTTCCTTTTTCCTTTTAACCATAAGGATCCTTATTTTCGCTATTCCGGAACAAAAAAGCCGAATTTTAATGAAATGTTTCTGTTTAACGTATAGCACTTACAGAAGAAACTATGGATTGTTGTTGCGGAAAGCTTTAGGTATATTACACGGCGGCACATTGCAACAGACTTATACCAAGGTTATATTATGGCGATACAATGCAGACCGCAAATTAAAAGGCCATTCAAAAGATGAGAGGGTTCACTAATGAGGCCAAGTCATTGCTATAAAAGTCAAGGATACCTGAAGAGTGATTTTTAAAAAAAGGAACGCACAACATTGGCCTGTGCACGTCAATTTTCTGATACGCGAATGTAACTTTTGATTATATACCCTAACACAAATAACGCTACTTCAAACATAATTTCGTCAGAAAAAGTTAACATTGACTATCACAGAGATTAATAACTACTTCGCATAAAATCACAAGAAAAATTAAAACACACGGGTAACAAGATAAACGTCGCCGATCAACAGTCACATTCTTACAACGACTAGTACTACAAATCTACCAGGACCGGAGAGAGAAAATCTGCGTCCACACTGGGGTCCGGTAGTGCCATATTTTGGCGTTGTGAAAACCCTCGCGCGCTTTTAAAGCAACTTTACTGAGTGTTCCCATGGCAACGATGCAAGCAGCTGCCTTAATGTTGATACAAAAACCGGAAACCAATTCCAAACAGTTTTCTCTTTCCTGAACGAAGTGTGAAGTGTTATAGCTCGTTCAGTTTGCGGTGTTTTATTAGTTAGGTCTTTAGGGCAGGTCTCCAAATTTGCTCCAAAAGCCGGAGTAGACATTGCGAAAGTCTACTGACTGTAAAAAAATTACTTTTAACTGTAATTTAGCATCTTTTAAACGACCACCAGTTTTTATACGTGTATTAAGGTTAGAAAGCAACGAAAAGCGATTATTTCCTCATTGTCTTTGTTTTGTTTTGTTTTGTTTTGTTTTTTCTGACGTTGTCGTAGAAAAAATCCTACAAGCAGCCCGAAACAATTTAGGAGCCAGTTGCCATGACTTTAATTATCCTCTGAGAAATTGAAAGGAGTACAAATACGGTAGAAATAAATAAACACAACTAAGAAAAAAATTATAATAAAGTTCTAGTTTTGTGAGGTATTTCTGCTGCCCCATGTGTAAATTTAACCGGTGTCATGAAAGATAGGTATCTTCTTGCGGGGTAGAATGGCACTGTTTATTTTACTTTTATAAAAAATGATTCGCTATAATATTTAATATCCGGCTGCGAGATCAAGTCTTTCGAAATCAACTATACTAATCTTGCGACGCCGGAAAGTAAAACGAAATTATTGAAAGCGAACATTGTAGCTACTTACGTTAGGTAAATTAACTGATGACTGCTAATATAAAGCAAGTTCGTTTTACCGTGTGGATTCTGGTTTTCCTGACTCCTTTCCTTGTGGGTTTTGTTTCAAAAGGATTCTCCAGGTATGGACAAAATGCACCGATTGAACAATACACGCACATCCACGGCGCATCGAACTCTAAAGCTTCTGCTGGAATAGCAGGATGATGACACTTCTGATGGTAACCTGGAAATAAAAAAAAAATATATGAAAAATAAAAAATATGGGATTCACTTAAATTGAATGTGACCTTCAATTATCTAAGGTGTAATTCCGTTTTCAAACCTTTTATTTAATCACTTCTTGTTGGCAACAATTTAACGTTCATTCTCTAAAATTTAGTTGCAGATGTGAGACTCAATTCTTACTTTGTCTCACACGCCAGAAAAATAGAAAAAATATTTGTGCCGTCAAGCAAATTTCACAAACCTATTTTGAGTGTAACTGCGGTAGGTGGAAAGTCATATCGATCAAAACACACACAAAAAAATAAACTGTGATAAACTGAGAGAAAAGTTATTGTCTCTGCGGCCAGACCATGTCAAAACAAGACACGAAAAACTAACATTTTGTAAGTGCCGACAATGTACATTCAACAATCGAACAGAGAATTCGTTGAACGTATCAAGCGGACGCAGTTGAACCACAGCGGCTAAGATGTTAGCTGAAGGCACTTGTTTCAACACCACCTGCGTTCAACAGACACATACCGCCCGCCATCTTGACTGAACAAATTTTCAAATATAGGTGCGTATTCACGCTATCGCGGAGTCACCCTTTCGCTTCGTTATGTTTGCTCGTCGCCGAGAAAATATAGGCGAGCGGTACTTACACCCGTGCTTCGCATTTCATCTTTCCACACCTTGTTCGAACGACCAAGCGAAATATACGAAACCACGTGGGAGAAAAAGTGCAGTATTATCAACGTTCTAGGAATTATACATTAAACAGAAATTCCCAATTCGCAATTCTTTGCCTTTAGGTATCGAACCTTGAATCCGAAACTTAGTTTCCGGTTCGAAATGGCGGCGAACATCGCGCTTCGTGCAAAGCTGATAAACGACAGCCGAAAATAAAGAGAAGAATAAATTATAGGTAACTTTTTTTCACGTATACATGAAAAGCATGCTAGACATACAAGAGCAGCGAAAAAAAATCTACCTTCGTAACGAGTTCCGTATATTTTTCAGTTTCAAATTCACTTAGAAAATTTCCTTCCAATGCTCCGCGATCATAAACGCGATTGAATATCGTTAGGTCCCTACGTGTCGAAGTCTGCAAAAGAAGACGCGCGTCGTCTGCGATGCGAACAACACAGCACTGGAAGGGCAGCTGAAGAAACAGCAAACCAACTTTCGCTTGAAGATAATTTCGTTCAATTAATGGCCATTTGCAGAACAATGGCGTAGCTAGAACTGAGTAAACAGCGGCAATTATTCCAAAAGTGAAGTGTTTGCAGGAGGAACAGATAAAATGAAGGGAAAGAGAGTAGACTTCTTATGAGCTGTCAAGGAAGGGAGGATATTCTCAGTAATACATGGTAATAACATCACAACACAACATACACAACTGAACCAATCAATTTCACCTGTGTTAGTGATCCTTTGTCAGGTGCTCGCTTACAGATCAACGAACAACTAAAACACAGGAAATTGGCCGCGAAACTCGTTTCCGTTGAATGTCAGCCGTGACTACAAAAGTGCAAAATTTAATTCGAACTCGTGAGATGTCGACAGCGCCCGCCCGCCCGCCCGCCGGCCTGGCCGCGCAATCATTTCACACAGTTACGCGATCAATACGCGTCTCTCAGTTTAACCAACATGAGCCCTGAGTCTTTCAAAAGCAGAAGAACTCGTCCATCAACGGCATGTAGAGCAAATTTATACAGTTCTCCCTGAACTAACAACAGGGAATCCCTCCCAGCAAGAGAAATTAGTCACCACGGTGAAAAATCGCTTTAATCTATCAGCCATTTTAGACTTCCGTTCTATCGAGGTGTTTAAATCTTTTTTAAGACAGATGACCTTTTTACAGCCAGGAAATATAATATTAAAAAATAACGCTTGTATGGTTTGAGATAAGAAAGATTACTCCTTCACTAACGGCAAATAGATCAAGCAATTAATTTGATCCTTTTTGAAAATAACCTTTCCGGCAAATGCTGAAAAGAGACAAAATTTCAGGCGAGCAACGAGCGAAAATTGTGGATTACAGAAACACTAGTTACGCACTCCCGAGCCGGAATGAAAATTGCTATGAGGAATCGCTAGACGAGAAACTTCAACAAAGAATGTTAATTCAGAAGAGAATCCCCGCTGTTTCTTTGTTAATCAAGATCTGTGTGTCTCTTCTTCAAGAAAAGAAGTTTATAAGTAAAGCAATAACAACACCCTCCCACTGCGAGCTCACTAACTGCGACTTTCGCTGCTGCCATCTGGCACCACATCTCCACAACTTCTCAGCTTTTGTTTGTTTTTCACAAAGGACGACAAAATTGAAAAAACTGTTCTCCCTGATTAGGCGTAAACATTACAAGAAAAGAGTCTGTTCATACAAAACTTCAGCCGTCATTTCACCTGCCTCTAAACTGTCATTTATTTCCGACAAAGAACGTGCGTACTGTCACTTACTTTTTGACAGAAATATTAAATATTTCCCCGCTTGGCGAGCTATGTAAACTTAAGCTTAACTTCAAGCACACACCAGATAAATTAAGAATTTTACAGCCCTACTTTAGCTACACAAAGCAACTTTAATTCACGCCGAGAAGCAAAGTTTGCAGCAAACAAGATGCTTCCTCTTGGTGAAAACGCCTTCACGGAAAGGAGAACGAGAAAAATAACATGAACACGACAACACAACCAAGAAAAGTGAGAGGAAAATGCAAAACACTAGAGATCCATCGGTAAACATGGCATTGAACGGTAAAAAAAATAGTCAAAATGACAGCTTAAGTGAGACGATAGTTAAAAGGATAAGAACTTAATTTCATATTCACTTGGGAGGACTGCCAATGAAACCGGAAAATTCAGACTAAGATTATCCGTTTGGAAAAACAAGATCGGACGAAGATAACAGGAAATTTATTACCAGGCTGTCAAAGTTACAAGAAAAAATAAAAACACCCGACAAAGAAATCTTTGTTTTCGGCGACACTTATAAATAGTAGTAGTGGTATGTAGTCTTCTATGGGTTATAACAGGAATGAATGTTACGTAATGGTAATAGGACCGAGTGGAGTCCAATTCGGTCTGTAATCATGCGTCGAGTGATTTGTTTATGACGAGTAAGGTTACAAACAGAATTGGACGACACGAAGTCCTGTTACCAATTAATCAAAACTGTGACAAAATTCGAGAAAGAAACTAGAAATGGGTGATTCGTTTTGATTAGTGCGTTTCGATAAGTGCTCAAATCGGGCTGGTGTTTACCAATCACGTTCGAGAATATTGCGATAGGTTTGATTAATTTCGTAATAAGAAATTTGTCATTTGTTATAAATGTTATCAGGATGAATATTATCTTTATTAATAACGATCACAAAAAAAATTACGAAAATGACTAACTTATCACTCTTATCTTATCATTATTATTACTATTGCCACTGAACGCAATTGATATTACCACCATCAATGTTTCTTATCTCCTAAACCTTAAGCTTTACCACATACCCTGCTTAAATGTGCGCTGTGTTGCAGCTTTGAAATGAAATTCCGTTTCGATTAAATCGTACGTTCGAGTGAACTGGAATAAAAAACACAATTATGAAGAACCATAATTTCAGTTCTCCAGGTTCGTTATCTATCATTGCTTACTATTTAAACTTATCTTTGGTGAACGTGCATCTTTACGGTTTCTTTTACTGTTAGAGTCAGCAATCCGTTACCGCTACATGCTTATGTGTCATGGGTACACAGCGCTGGTGATAACCGCTGGTCACCGTAAATTTTTCTCTTGATTCATGAACTTCGAACCGCGTAACATGATACAAACGCAAGGCGGGGCACTTTGGCAATTTGGGCGGATAAACTGATGTGTGTTTCCTATAAAAAGGAAGCATAAGATTTTTCTTCCGGTCCTATAGTTTGCGACAACACAACTGATTGAAAAAATAGCCGTATTTATTTTCGTCCTAGCTTGCCGAAGGAAGCAAATTATACAATGATCTTTTGTAGTTCCGAGGAAAATCTGAAGGATTTCCCATTTTCCTGAAAACTTTCCGGTGGAAAGGCGTTTTTATTCTATTCCCCAACGAGAAAATCTGCCTTGCTCTTACAACCGGAAAGCGACCAAGAGAGGGAAGATTTAGTTAATCAAAGAAGCTATTTCATACAAAATACAATTTCAGTGAGACAGACGAACGCAAATGAGAAAGCAAAACCCCAACAGGGAAAAAAGACGGTAGAGGATGGAAAAGATTAGGACAGTTCAAAAACGAACCAGGAAAATTAAGTCTAGTTCCCTCAAACCTTCTTTTCAAACAGAATGGCTAATTTAAAACCACACGACGAATTAAAACGAAAACATTAAATTGCACTGAATTATCTTAACTGAGCGTGAGGCACTGCTTCCTGTTTCAAAACGGTTTGTGAGTTACGGTAATTCCTTCGGAGGTTCACATTTTCCTTTAAAAGAAAACATAGTTGGACCAGTTTCACTGCTTTGACGTCATTGCTCTCTCGCGTGGTTAAACCAGTTTAACAAGCTTGACGCAATTGGTGTCAACCAAGGTGAAGCACGTCCAACAGGTTTGACGTAATATTTCGGTCAAAAAAAACTTAGCACTCACTAATCTGGTTATTATTCCCAGCTGGAAAGATATCTGTTCATGCCAGACGAGTAGAGCTTTCTTAGTAAAGAATGGACTTCCTCTCTCTTCAGAGCAGAGAAATAATTTAGAAACTACAAGTGACCAAATATTTTAATGTGCGTTCCCCGCTCTCTCTATAACACACAAGAAACGCACTCGAAGCGTTCGAAATTGAAAAGAAAAAAAGGTTAAGTATATTCTAAGCACGCAAACTCTAATATCATTTGATTTCAATACCCTTTTCGCAGCTATAGCATTGTTTTTTTCTACTAGGCTGCGATTGTATCTAAGTAACGCACTATGCCCCATCGCTAGGTCCGTTGGTAAGCAACACAAGCCTCTCTTGAGGAATGTTGCCCACCTTGGCTGTTTAATA